AATTTTAAGATGTGTAGATTTCCATTCCCAGAATTCTTTTGAAGATGAATTCCATGCTGACTGAGGGATTCTGGAAGTCTACATATCTTCAAGTTGTTACAGTTAAGGAACACCGATTCAGCGCATGAAGGATTTCTGATGTCCGTTCCTATTGATAATGTGTATTTATAGAAATCTACTCCTCTAAGTGCACTGTTAGAAGAATATGACCAATTCCTATGATCAGCTCCAATGGTGAGGAGAGAGGGAGAGAAGAAAGTAGCAATGGTTTGCTTTTGACATTGTTTTGGCAGGATGCAAGTTTGCATTAAAAATTGCTCTTAAAATCAACCCCTTCCCATTACTCTCTGCCACTCACTTCAGGTTCTAATATTGCTAACACTGCAAAAGGAAAAAATAGCCCTCTTGGATTCAGTCAATGTAGAAGGGACATACACCACTCTGACAAAAGATGAGCTTATAGCAGAAGAATTGCACAAACAGTAGCAGGGGAGGTGGGGGTATCAGGCAAAGACAGTTCACTCCTCCCCTCATTTCCTGCTTATTGCTGAAGGCCCCAGTAGTTTGCTCATACACTTCCATTTAATTGGCCTTCCCCCACTCACCTCAATTCCGCCTCTTAATTGTATTATTGCAGCATTCAAAACACTTCAGTGAAGTTTTTGACATTTCCACCACCCACATACCCTGCTGTCCTGCAATAAGAAAGTTTAAAGAAACTGCAGCTGAAATAACAGCTATACGTCCTCTGACTCCTCTTTTCCTGTTGCTTCCCCCTGTGCAACATTATAGACTATGATGAAAACCTGTCTATATTATGCAAATCAAGACAGTTGGCATATATCTGCATAACTGCCTGCATTTCTAAAACTGAAAGAAAAGCTCTACTGGAACCCAAGTTGGATTGGAAAATACATTAAGTAACTATTTTAAATTTCCTTTTGAACCATAAATGTATAAACCTGGATATTTTAAAGAAAACAATAAAATCCTGAATTTCTTAGGAAAAGAAATGTCATTTACAAAAGAACACGTTGGTTGCTTATTTGCTCAAGCTATAATGCTTATGCTTTAATTTTTAATTTTCTCCTGTAACAAACTCTATGTGTTCAGAAACTTCACCTGGTCCAGAATGGTGGAACCAAATTATTATGATGACTAGTTAGAGAAAGGCTGCTTCACTGTATATTAGTACAGTGTATATTAGTACTAATTATTAATACATTCCAACTATCATTTAAACCTATCTTGGTCAAGTGATCCCTTCCCAATTAAAAAAAGGATACAAAATTAAAAAATAAACAGAAATAGAAAATTTAAAAAATGGAAAATTAGAAAAAGAAAAGGAATAACAGTAAAAATACTGAAAAAAACAAAGAAAAAAGTAAAAAAAAAAAATAGAAAAAGAATCTGTGAGTTTCATTGGTACAGATAAAGATATAAGAATACAAAAAATTACTATCCAAATTAAAATTTGTCTATATTATTTTGATAATCCTATGTAGTACTATTCATCAAATTTCAAAATCAGCTTTTCATTTATTTTCTTGCAAAACTCAAATAATGATTTCCAAGTAAAAACAAAATTTGCCAGTCTTTCTTTCTTCTTCAAGCCTATCAATTTCACCATCTCTGCCAATTCCACCCACTCCCATCATCCATTCTTCCATCATAGTTATTTGAGATATGCCTTTTCTGTTGTTATCATAATAAAAACAAAGTTCCACAAGATGTTTCCATTTGTTTGGCCATTAAGCAGAAAAGAAATTTGATCTTTTTCAAATTGAAGACCATGCTTGACTTTGAGTGGTATGCCATTTGTTGCCACATGCCAACAAAGAAGGCAAAATTAATAACAACAGCAACAATGGTCATTGAAAAAATAAATGCCCTCCCCAATACACAATTAAATGTTACAAGGAATTATATCTACAAAATTTTGCAGCAAAAGGGCAGCAGATTACTGGGACAACAATGAGTTTTTCTAGGAGAGCAGGATTGTACACAGCCCACATGCTCTGTCCTAAATAGTTGGGTTCACCTGTTTAAAAGACCATTATTTCTCTTATGAGCCTACCTCTAGGTACCTCCTTTGTACCCAATAGTGCCAATGACCTATCTGACAGGAATAGACAAGAGAGTTTTATTGGTGACTGCTCCCGCATTGCAGAACTCCATGCTAATGGAAGTATAGTTTCACTTCTGTTGGTACACAAAAACATCTTATTTGGGTGAAACTTTGACAAAGAAGTTGGTCTGTTATCTGGATGTTGTCTATTCTACTCATGTGTAAATAATGTTTTATATTTTAAATCCTCTAATTATCCTCTTTATGTACTACCTGCAGCAATAGCTTTGGGAAAACATCCAAGAGGACCTCTTGTATCTTCCCTATGATAACTTCTGGATCACCCTAGCTTTATGAACCCCATGAAAGTGGTCCAACTTCTGGTAAGAGCTGTCTGCTCTTCAACAGAACTATGGACAGGTGACAAAAAACAAGGGACAGGTGGGGAAGAATGGCTTATACAAACTTAGTTTTCTCTGCACTCCCTCACCCCTGAGAAAGTCTTTCCCCCAAAAGAATGTCATTCAGATCAGGGGAAACCCCAACCCCAGAGTGGGAGGATTAATTTTTAGCTTGTGATCTGCACATTTGCTCAACTTTGTTACATTTCCTATATAGGTAGTCTTCATTTAGTGGCTACTTCATTTAGCGACTGCTCGCAGTTGCAATGCTGATGTAACAGTACTACTTGTAATCCTGCTTTTCGTGTAGTTTTCAACAGATCAATTTCTACTGAAGACAAACTCTGGCACAGAATCTCCGACTGAATATACATTTGGAAGGAAGGGGATTGTTTTTATGAACAACAGTTCTCTCTTTCTGCCTTTTGCTTCTGATTTTTGAGCCAGCATATATATTAGAGATAGAAAATACATTAGAAAGAAAAGCGAGGTGGAGCAAGTACTTGTTTTCACAACACTCAAACCTATATTGTTCTTTAGAATGCCTTTCCAACTGTGTATCTTCCAGAATTTTTGGCCCCAATTTCTAATAACACTAATAATTCCCAACCAGAATAGGCAATATGCTCTTGCGAAGGATAATGCCAACTAGGAACTTTGGTACAGTCCAACATTTCTAGAAGAGCTCATTTAGAATAAGTTGGCTTAATGGGGAACATGGATCACTAAAAAGCAAAAGGTGTTGGCTTTTGCATTGCAACCAATATTTAAAAACCTTCTGTGGCAATGGAATATTCACAATAGCAAAGAATACAATTTTACATTTTCAGGTTGAAAACAATATTGGTCCAGCACTTCAGGTACAAAACACTAACAGACAGAAGATATGCACCACCTAGTGAAGAGCATCTGTAGCGCTGCCCTCGTGTGAACTGGGCATTTTGTACAAAGTGTGCTTCCCTTTCAGCAGAGGAACAAACTGTTGCCAAAATGGCAACTCTAACATGTCTGCTCAGTCTAGTATTTTTGGGACAAAGCCTCTTTCCCAACCCATCTCTATCAATTCAGCAAATGACCAGTTCACCTCACAGAATGGCAGACAACAGTATTATTTCCAAACACTGTCTGAGAAACAGGCTCTCTCTTCTCTTCATAAAGCTCCTTATTCAAATCAAATAGAAATTAAATTAGATGCAGTTTCTTGATTGTTTTAAATCAAAGCTCAAGTGTGCAAGGACGCACAAAGGAGATTGTATCCTCCGTGGCTAGAGTAACACAAAAAGGAAAGCACCATGGGAAATATGCCTCTGCATTAACACCACCCTTTCCCTGCAACTGGAAAAAAAAATATTGCCAGGCTTCAGGTGAAGAGAGAGAAAGCACTTGCACTGACTTCACCTGCACAAATAAAATGTAGGGTGTTGCAAAATTAGGCAAGGGAAAGGGAGAGATGGATGAACGTGAAACAACGTCGCTGATGCTATTTATCCAGGGCACTGCATAAGCAGATATAGGCCCCCAACCCCACCCTAATGGAAAAGCTATCAGTCACCACATATGATGGATGAAAGCACAAAAAAAAATGGAATAGGAAACATTAATTGCCAGCCAAAGAAAACAGGAGCTAACAAGGGAAAGGGGATCAACTGTTGGCCCACATGGAAATCTGACAGCAAGGGATTTATCAGAAACAATAATACTGAAGAGAAACGGAATGAACAGTCACACATGACAGAAAGGAAAGGCAGAAAAACAGAGCAAATGTGCGAAATACAGGATTTCCTTGTTTCTCTTGCTTTAGCTGCTGTCTGATGTGGAGGGGGAGAGAGGGAGGGAGGGGGGAGAGAGAGAAAGATTCTGCTGTTCTTCTAAAAGACTACTAAAGAAATACTAAACCCTACTCCTTGTAACTACTTAACAGAAACAGCACACAATCTGCTCCTGTAGAGTAGAGAAGAAGCAGAGGGCCAAAGAGATGGATCTGTCTTAATTATCAACATTTTTGTGTGCATTTGGGATTAGCCGGCTCCAGCACCCAGGTAGGTCCAGCAATTGGACAGGGGAGTTTTGCTCTGGGTCACCCCCTCTTGCAACGCTAACAAAGAGCAACAATGCCCACCGACGTAGGTTAGACACGCAGAGATAAAGGGAAGGCGAGGGAACTTTTCCGCCCTGGCAGCGACAGGGCTCAGCCTCCCCTGACCCCCTCTTTCCCAAACCCGGGGCCGTGCCACGCATTCTTGACGGTCAGCAAATCCCCGAGTCCGCAGCTCCAAGCGCAGAATAGCGGCAAGCCTCTCTTCCCCGCCCTCCACCCCAGCGATACGCATAAGTCGCCTTGCAAGAGCCGCGCATCTTTGCCAATGAGGGGGGGGAAAAACAACGCGATTTGCAATGAACAGGCCGACCTGGAACGGGGAGGGCAAGCAGCAGCAGCAGCAGCCGCTGGAGGGGGCTCCTTTTGTTCGCTCTTTCCATTCACCTGCAATGGGAAGTTTATTCACGGAAAGCCCCTCCTGTCCCCATCTCACCTCACAGCCACCTTGACGCTGCAGCTGTCACCCTGGGCGGCCATTCCCTTCTTCTTTTTCTCCTTCTTCTTCTTTTCCCTCCCTCGGCGATGCCGCCGACGCCCCGCACCGCAGGAGAACGCTGCCCTCCAACCACCATGGAGCTCGGTGGGGCCAGGGCCGAGGCGAGGTTGCGACTCGGCTAGGAGCAGGAGGCGCGTCGGAGGCTGCTCGAGCCGCAGGAGGAGGGCATGCTGGGCTCCTCTCGGGGAGCGCGGACGCTCGTCCTCTCCAGGAGAGAAAGAGAAAGGCAGCCCCCAAGAGGGAGAGAGAGCTTAGGCAGCGTCCCCGCTTCCCATCCCGCCCGACGCGGCGGCGGCGGCAGCAGCAGCGGGACTGCGGAGAGAAAATTAGCGTCGACCCAGCCAGAAGTCGAGCGGGCGGAGAGGCTTGGAGTTGGTGGGGGGGAGAAGAAGAGGGAGGCGGAAGGAGGGGCGCCAGGACGCGGAGGCGGTCACGCCCACCCCCCGTCAACTCAAAAGGTGGAGGAGGGATTTGCGCCGAGTAGGGGCGGTGGGCAGCGGCAAAGAAACACGAGGGAAAGAGGAAAAGGGTCTCGGCGTTGGAAGGGCTTAAGAAGTTGTAGATCCAGAGGCTTGGATACATATATATGTCTGTCTGTCTGTCTCTCTCTCTCTCTCTCTATCTCTCTCTCTCTCTCTCTCTCTCTCTCTCTCTCTATCTATCTATCTATATTGAAGAGCGCCGCCGCTTCGGTGCACGATCTCGGTGAATCGCTTCCGTTCCTTCTAGCCGGCTAGCTCTAGAAAATAATTAAAAAAAAAAAAATTCCCGGAAGAGAGTAAAGAGCTTGCAAACGAAATTACTACAGAGCTCGCATGCCAGCATGAATTTTGTAGCGTTTTTCACACGGGTGGATGGAAGGTGGGCTTCTGTGGTTGTGGTAGTAGCTGAACCAAGGGGTTGCTTCATTATTTGAATGACACCATGTATTTCAGAGGCTGGGTTTCTCATATTAGCCAAAGGTTGGCTGACTGGGTTTGGTGCATTGTGTGACTATTTCAGGCCCTGGCTTGCCTTGGGTGGGAATTTTCATCTAATATTGTGGATAAGGCTAAAATATGGCTGCTGTCAGTGAACTGTATTGTGAAATTATAGTCAATATCACACACGTACACATATGCAGGGATGTAAAGATTCTGTTGCTACAGAA